AGAGTGCTGCGACAGTTCCATGCAGGACATCCAGGGCTCAACCGAATGAAAGCGCTTGCCAGAAGGTATGTGTATTGGCCGTTTACGGACAGGCAGCTGGAGCAGCTAGCTAAAAGTTGTGGCGACTGCGCCATCGCCTCAAGGGCACCGCCAAGGACTGAACTCCGCTCATGACCTAAACCAACCAAACCTTGGAGTCGTGTTCATGTAGACTTTGCAGGCCCAATCAATGGCCAGAGCATTCTCATAGTGGTCGACGCTAATAGCAAGTGGCCCGAAGTGTTCCTCATGAGAAGCTCGAAAACCAGCGCAACCGTCTCTAGGTTGCGACGTGGTGGGTTTTCGCCCGGCAAGCGTTCTCCCTATAAAAAGCCACAAATGTCTGCTTATCAACACTGTGACGTGGCGGATGTGACCCTCCACAAAATAAAATCACTGGGCCGTAGACATCCGGAAAATGGCATCCAACTCACGGACCTCGATCGCTTATTCTCACATTCCTACCGATAACGAACATTCAAGCATTCTGCGGCACCTTCAAAAATACAAGCTACATTCATAGACAATTACATACATATATACACCCATACACTTACATTCACTGTTATGCCAAACATGTACTCTGTAACATTTTTGATCACCACATATGTTAGCTAATCATGATCATGCCTGTACTGGTGTGTCTCGCATTGTCGAGAATAAACGTTTATTTATTTATTTATTTAATCTTCAGCATGTTCGGCTGCCCTGAAACATTGGTGACGGACAATGGAGCACAGTTTACTTCGGCCACATTCACGGAATTCTGCCAAGGTTGCGCCATCAGACACGTGCGGTCTCCACCATTCCACCCACAATCGAATGGCCAAGCGGAGAGGTTTGTGAATACATTTAAACGCGTTCTCCTCAAATCAAGGAGGGAGGGAGACATAGGAAAGGTGATCGACTGCTTCCTATTTCTGTATCTATCTACACAAAATTTACAAACACCGGGTGGAATATCACCAGCAGAGGCAATGATGAAGAGAAAACTTCGCATGCCATATGATGCAGTTCGGCCATCCTCAGAGTCCATACCTGGTGAAAGAAACCTAAAGATAGAACGTGATTTTAATCGGCGGTTTAGTGCCAAGCAACGCTCGTTTAGACTGGGTCAGCCAGTACTTGTGCATGATTATCGGGTTGGACACACGAAATCGACGCCACACACGATCCAGCGTAAGCGCGGAAGCGTCATATACGACGTGCTGGTTGGAACGCAGGGATGGGTACGCAATGCAAACCAACTGCGAACAACAATGTGTCAGCCACAAGCAACAGAATCCGCCAAGCCTTCATTTAACCTGTTGACAGACAGCTTCAACTTGTCCACAGAGCCAGTAGAAGAACCCTGTCATCAGACGAATTGTACCAGACCGCAGAGCACGGAATTCGAATCCAGAACAATACAGCCAACGCGTTGCACCGGTAGGCGAAGAATCCCTTCCAGGTGGCTTCAGATAAACCCCCGGCTAGCTTCATACAGAACGGCAACAGCTGCAGGATGAGAGGTATCCAGGAATCAGATAAAAACATAAAAGAAAAAAGGGAAAGTATATAATGGTGATTGAAAGCTGGACGGAAGGGAATCGCCTACCCCGTGCGGTCGATCAGGCAATTCGATCGGGGGGGGGGGGCGAGCGACGAATGCGTTTTCAAACACGGCCAAGTGGAACTTTTGCCTCAGAGTTAGAGGACAGTGTT